TCTAAAATTTCAACTAAAATTCGTATTTAAATCAGTTCTTATTACAAAGTTCAACTTAAATTCAACTATTTAAATACAAAAATAAATAATATATTGAATAATTGAATGTTTCTCAAAATTTAATTCTTATAAAGAATTTATCAATTTCTTTTAAAATAATTGAATTTCTGAGAAGAATTTTATTATTTATGAAAATAATTAAATTCTTGCGAAAAATTTTAATTAATTCTTTTTAAATAATTGAATAATATTGTGAAGAATTAAAGAAAGAATTTATCATTTTTTAAACAAATAATGCAAATTTCTCTCAAAAAGAAAGAAAAAAGTAGGTTTTATTGTCATAAATCTAAAAAAGTATCCAAATAATAGAAAATTGTAAAAAAAAGTAGTAAATAGTAGATTTTAGTAGAGATGAGTGCGAAGCCTGTATAGAAAAATTTGAATCCGCGAATATATTGTGAATAAACTTTACAATTTCCTTGACCCACATGGAAAGATTGAAACAAAAAAAGAAAATAAAAGTTGGTCCAAACTTACACAGGAAAAAAAAGTCTGACTCCGTTTACACCTTAAATTCAGCCCATGTATTTCACATAAGTCTGTCCTTGTTTAATGACTCCGTTTACACCTTAAATTCAGCCTCGAAAACAGGCTAAAAGTAAAACTTTTTTTTTAGTGTGTACGAATGGAGGTCTTCAAACTGAAAAATCGTGACAGAATCGCGCACACGGGTTAAAAGACAGTGACAGCAAGCGAAGAGTTGGCGCTGCCTTTCAAGAATAATGAGACGACTTAAATTTAATGCCCTGGGCTCAAGTATCTACAGGATTATGCCAAGTTAACAAATAAATATATATGTATACATCTCGTATCGTGGCTTGTGACCCTCTTTTCGCTTCTAATATATATATATATATATATATATATATATATGAGGCGCATGAAAAGTCTCCAATTTTTATTTTCCGAATCTTTATTTTATCGAAATTCTTTTTATCTAATAAGAATTAATTATAATTTCTTTTAATCGAAAGAATAATTATCAAAAACATTATCTTTTTGAATGACTAATTAACAGAATGTATAATACTGCGAAAGAAAATTTTTTATAATCTTCAAATAACTGAATTATCATTCCTAAAAATTATTATTTTTTATATTTCTTATTTACACTAATATTTTTATTTTCTAAATGTCAATTTTGATAAATATTATTTTTTAAATTTGTTAATAACTATAATAATTATATTCCCGAATTATTATTCAATATAATTCAAATAATACCGAATTACCAATTCTTAAAAAATTTATTGTTCCTAATAATATTTTATTAAAATGTGTAAATGTTCTAAATTCTAAAGTCTCTAAATTTTGTTTTATCGAAATATCTTTTGTTATAAAACTTTTTTCTTATAAATGTTTTTCAAAATAATTTTAATTTTTACGAATTAACATTACTCATAATTTTCTTTACTCCTAATTATTCTTCTTTATAATTACTATATTTTCTAACATGTATTTCTTCTAACTATAACTTTACCGAATTGTCACTTCTCATAATTATTATTATATCGAAATATTATTTTTCAAAATTTTTGTAATATCTAATAATTTTTTATACAAATTTTTTTATTTTATAATAACCAGTGTTTATAATTTTATTTTATTCGAATAATTATTTCGTATAATTTCTTTCTTACCGAAATTATATTTTAAATAATTTTTTATTAATCAATTTTTTATTTTTCCTAATATTCATTTTTCCAAATAATTCTTTTTCATAATTTTTATATTTCCTAATTCGTATTTTACATAACATCCATTTTTTCTAGCATTTAAATTCTCTAATTTATTCTTTTCCTAACCTATAAATGTCATAATAAGAATTGCACAGAATAGTTATTTCACATACAAAATATACGGTTTCGACGTTTCCCATCTCTGAAGAATATGGCGCCAAATTTGAAAAAAGTTTATTATTTTATTATTTAAAAATTATTAATTATTACAAATATTGTTTAAAACAATTTTCCTAATGATATTTAATTGTTTTAAACAATATTTGTAATAATTAATAATTTTTAAATAATAAAATAATAAACTTTTTTCAAATTTGGCGCCATATTCTTCAGAGATGGGAAACGTCGAAACCGTAAATTTTGTATGTGAAATAACTATTCTGTGCAATTCTTATTATGACATTTATAGGTTAGGAAAAGAATAAATTAGAGAATTTAAATGCTAGAAAAAATGGATGTTATGTAAAATACGAATTAGGAAATATAAAAATTATGAAAAAGAATTATTTGGAAAAATGAATATTAGGAAAAATAAAAAATTGATTAATAAAAAATTATTTAAAATATAATTTCGGTAAGAAAGAAATTATACGAAATAATTATTCGAATAAAATAAAATTATAAACACTGGTTATTATAAAATAAAAAAATTTGTATAAAAAATTATTAGATATTACAAAAATTTTGAAAAATAATATTTCGATATAATAATAATTATGAGAAGTGACAATTCGGTAAAGTTATAGTTAGAAGAAATACATGTTAGAAAATATAGTAATTATAAAGAAGAATAATTAGGAGTAAAGAAAATTATGAGTAATGTTAATTCGTAAAAATTAAAATTATTTTGAAAAACATTTATAAGAAAAAAGTTTTATAACAAAAGATATTTCGATAAAACAAAATTTAGAGACTTTAGAATTTAGAACATTTACACATTTTAAAAAAATATTATTAGGAACAATAAATTTTTTAAGAATTGGTAATTCGGTATTATTTGAATTATATTGAATAATAATTCGGGAATATAATTATTATAGTTATTAACAAATTTAAAAATAATATTTATCAAAATTGACATTTAGAAAATAAAAATATTAGTGTAAATAAGAAATATAAAAAATAATAATTTTTAGAAATGATAATTCAGTTATTTGAAGAGTATAAAAAATTTTCTTTCGCAGTATTAAACATTCTGTTAATTAGTCATTCAAAAAGATAATGTTTTTGATAATTATTCTTTCGATTAAAAGAAATTATAATTAATTCTTATTAGATAAAAAGAATTTCGATAAAATAAAGATTCGGAAAATAAAAATTGGAGACTTTTCATGCGCCTCATATATATATATATATATATATATATATATATATATACTAGGGGGTATATATAGTATATATATACTTCGCCCCCCTGCGCGCCAACCCCCTATCTCTATTTTTATATTTATTTTAATTTTTATAAATTTAAAGTAATTTTTTCTTAACCCCTTGGCTGTCAACGAGATTTCCACTGTTTGGGCCAAAAGAGTGATGAAAAAATTGTTAATGGATTTTTATGAAACTTGGTACCCTAAGGTTTCTGGGGTCGCTGATTACGAATCTGACATCAGTTTTTCGAAATTCAAAATGGTGGATCCAAGATGGCGGAAATTTTTTCAAAATTCGTCGAATTTGCTTGAAACTTGTTACTCGGGGGTTTTAAGGGTCGCTGATTACGAATCTGAAATCAGTTTTTCAAAATTCAAAATATCTGGTTCAATATGGTGGAAATTTTTTTAAATTGATTGAATTTGTTTGAAACTGGTTAATCTGACATCAGTATGATAATTTTTGGTGAAATGAAATTTCGATAAATACCCTTAAAAAATAATGACAGATTCGTAATCAGCGACCCTAAAAACCCCCGAGTATTCAGCTTCAAGCCATTATAATTAATTTTTTATTTTGTTGTCCACCATATTGGATCCGCCATTTTGAATTTTGTAAAACTAATGTTAGATTCGTAATCAGCGACCCCAAAAACCTCCGAGTACTACGTTTCAAGTCAATCTGATCAATTGCGCATATATGCGTCATGAACCACTTTTGGCCAGTTTAGTTTTGCGCATATATGCGTCAGCGACAGTCAAAGGGTTAATATCAATGCATCTTAATAAATTGCATACAATACATGACAAAATACACATAGATTTTGACGTAATGTAACAATCGTTATGGACCTTTTTTATCTATATGTCAAAAATTAGATTAAACTCTGACATATATTTTGACCCATTTTAACCTATAGGTTGAAAAGGCGTCAAATTTTACATAGATTTTGACGTATCATAGATACGTTTATAGTCCTTTATTGTCCCTTTTTAAGTTGTAGTTAAATAAAAGTCAAATTACACATAGATTATGACGTAACTAAATGAGGGAGTAAAAATAAAACGTCAAAATTAGGTCAAAATGATAGGTGTAAGAGCAAACACAATTTTAAAATTACCTTACATTGTTAGGTCAGATGGCAAACTTCACCTCATCATTAAGTCTGCGCGCGGAAATTGTTTGACAAATTTTGACGTCTATGTCAAAGCTGCCCTCAAACTTGACCTAAATTTTGAGGGTAGCGGGAATTCTTTGTCAAATTTTGACGTCTGGGTCAAAACTGACCTCAAAATTGACCTAAATTTTGAGGGTAGTGGAAATTGTTTGTCAATTTTTGATGCGTAGGTCAAAACTGCCCTTAAAATTGACCTAAATTTTGAGGGTAGCGGGAATTCTTTGTCAAATTTTGACGCCTAGGTCAAAACTGCCCTCAAATTGACTTATATTAACTTTATGTGAGGCCGTTATTTATCCTCTTTTTTATATATATATATGTTTAAGGTAACAGATAGAGTGAAAGATAATGAGTAAAATTCAAGATACACTCGCCCCCCTGTAAACCTGTTTATTGAAAAAAGTTGTCCATTTTATTTACTCCATGTCCTTCATCGCATGAAAATAAAAGAGAGTAAGAGAGCAATTTCGTTAAGAAGGCATAAAGCATTCGTTTCAACTCGTAACAAGAAATAAAATCATTTTGATGCAATAAAGAAAATAACTCTTTCATTATTTTTAATAATGTAATAATAATAATAATAATAATAATAATAATAATAATCAAACGTATTTATCTATTTATCGTAGGGGAGATTGGGGAATTGTGGGCCACCAATATTGTACCAATATTGGCATAAGCTGGTGCTTGGGATATAACGGATTCGCCAAGCATCGGTTGTTAATGCTGCCATGTGATATAAAAACTTAGTTATCTGACATTTTGGTGAAAAATGAGTTTTTGGTATCAATGAACTCGTAAGAAAAAACTGCGTCTAATAGTTATAGTTTAAATTTTTTTTACAAATTATTGTTTGTAAAAAATTAATATTAAAAATCTAAGAAATTGCAGAAAATGAAGGAATATTTGATAAAAAGTTAAGGAAAGGACTATGCGTAGTCCAAAAAACAAACGAGGCTACGAGCTCGAATGTAAGATTTGAAGGAAAAACTTAGTTAAAGGCATTTGTGTGTTTTTTGTATCAAATAAGTAGTCGAGTCTAAGCGTTGGATTTGAAATAAAAACTTTGCATATGCAACGCTTGCAATTACCTAAGTTATTCCGTCAAAAAGTCAGTCGAGACAGAGCCGAACGACTACTTAACTGCATTCGGCTAAACTCGGTTTATCCTCGGGTCGCAAGCAGCAAGCAGCCGTCCCCTTACCACATGACCCTGTAACGTTTTATTACGTTTCTGTTCTACTGACAATCCTTGTTGTTACTCAGATTGAATAATTCATATTAATATTATATTTTCAAATTATATTTCGCGCCTTAGCGCCAAACTTCAACACCAGGCGTCGCGCACGCCAAAAACAGCAGACGACAAAAAGCACATGTTGCTTTTGACCGGCAAGAGACGCCAGATTGGTGTGAACCATAAGTGCGAAAACGCACCATTGCGCATAATTAATATAATTGTATTTTTATTCCTTGTGCCAAATAAATTGTTGTTTATTGTGAGTGCGCTAATTATTTCCGCCGTTTCCAGCGTCATAATCGCTAATTTCAGTTGTGGGAATACAAAAAAGGTTAGTCTTCTAATTTCGTTTTTCTTGGCTTGTCACCGAAGGAAGGAGGAGATATCTTTCGAGCAGTGGATTCCTGGTTGGTAATTGTGTCTCGCAATATGAGTCGAACCCTTACTCTATTTTTACAATAAATTCTTATATTGTTGGTCACATTTTTGGCGCCCAACGTTATCTTTTAACCAAAATTGTGCCCTTGCCACATTTTTGGCACCTAACGCATATTTTAACAAATTTCTTTAAAATTCATTTCTCTTTGTGCGAGTCTTCGTTGAGAGTTCCCCTCGCGTCGCCATTGTGACGTCACGCCAGGGCCACTCTCTGATCACTCACACAACCATATGACTGTGTCGCGCCTGAAAAGCAATACACTTGCCATTCTTGTAAATAACTTAGCACTTTTCTAAATTATCCTCGCGCATTAAAGTCATATTATTATCAAACAAAAAAAAATATATATAAAACCCAACCAGGTTCCCTCAGCTCAATTAATAGACATTGAAAAGAAAAATTATTCTTGTAAATTGCTATTATTCAATCACTTTTATTAAAAAATAAAGCATGAATATTTCCTTTTCTGCTATCTCACTGCTTGTATTCGCACCAATCTCAATACACTTCGCATGAATCATGAAATTTACAACTGTCAACAAATTATTTCGACTAAATAATTAACTTTACTCAAAATTAAAATACGTAATGTAAATTTCAGACTACACTTTACTTAAAATATCTTTGTTTTTTTTTTCAAAATATTTCTAGTATAGTACATGCAAGAAAATAAAAACATATTTTTTCGCTTCGCTCAAACTTTATACTTACGCTACGCTTACTATTTATTTTTTCGCTGCGCTTACTATTATTTTGCTTTCTCAACGCCTTTGTTTTTTCGCGTAAACTACTTAGCAACAATTATTTAATAAATTTTTTTGTAGAAATTGTATAATACATCGACTTAAACATTTTATTTTAATATTGTTTTTCTCCGTAAAAATAACAATCATGATTGACAATTTTTAAACAATTTCCTTCTTTATAACAAAAAAAAGGGAATTACGAATCTCCAGCTTAATTAGCGCGATGAAAACACAGCTGTGTTTACTATCACAACACAAATACCTTGCTTCTTTCAGGTCTTCGAAATTACAGAAATAATGAAATTTTAATTTTATTTCGATGATCTCTGCATAATCTTTCTATTAAAGAGAGAAACTATTTTTAAAAAAAAGGGAATCTAATCAATTAAAAAAAAAAAAAAAATAATTTTATTAATAAAAGTTTGATTTTGAAACAAAAGAAACAAAATGTATTAAAAGATAAAGTAACTTGTCTTTAATTAACAAAATTAAAATAAATTAAAATTTTTTTTTTCCTTTTTCTCTCTCATTTTCCTTTAAATTGACAAAATAAAGTTTTATTGAGATTTGATTATCAAAATAAAATCTTATTATTGATGATTAAATTAGCAAAATAACCTTATTAAAAATCAGATTAACAAAATAAAATTTTATTAGTAATTAAGTTGATGAGATGAAATTTTATTAAAAATAAAATTAATAGAATAAAATTCTTTTATTAACAATTAGAATGATGAAATAAAATCTATTGAAATTTTTTCTTTCTAACAAAGGAAAATGCTTATTTAATTATGGGAAGAAGAAGCCCTAAAAAGAACGAAAAACAAAAACCAAAAACACGTTCCCAAACAAGCGCATTTAGAGATTCCGACAAAATGTGGAGAACACCACCCAAAGAAAACAAAACAACCCCCACAAACCCTAAAAATTCAGATAATAACACTGCGCGTACTGAAACAGTCACCAACACCGCACACGTTCCACAAGAAGAAACGTGGAGCGCAACTAAAGAAAATTTAGAAATTATTTTTTCACAAAATCAAAATCAAAGACCCCCCTCACCAACGGAAAATTTTAGCCCAATAAATAACACCGACATAGAATCAGAAACAACTAGCGCAAATACAACTCCAATTCACGAGTGGAACATTTTTAAAAATAACACACTAAAAGACACTCATAAAGTCAACCCTTCACAACCTTCATCAGGAACACTTCCTAAAATAACGCTTCATCGCCGCGTTCATAAATCTAAAGCACAAAAAACCCCAGTATCTAACACACAATTAAATCATTTTTACACACGAATAGAAAGTCTCGCAATCGGCCAAGCGGAAGAAAATAAAAAATTCAAAAATGATATGCATCAAATATTCCGACAACATCTCGAAAATACGCGTCAACAAACACTCGACGCGTACAAAGAAAATCGACTTGAAATAACCGCGCTAAGAAAAGAAACAACTAAATCGATTGAAAAACTTCGTGCTGAAATGTCAGCGAACATACAGGACCTCACAAAAAAAATGTCACAAATGCAAACGAGACATGCGCCATCCCCGTGGAACGACTCTCGTTGGGCATTCGACGACAGTGGCGAACACATCGCGCAACAGGTTAGTTTACCCCCCACTACAACCACAAACACGGTCACATTCACGGGTAACACTTCGACTACAACGCAAAGCGCAACCACAGTCATAGCGCCGATACACCCCCCACTATCGTTCACACCTTTGCGACAAGGACCCCCTGCAAATCGCACACTACATTTCGCAGAACAACCAGATTTAATGTTTCCAACTCCCGAAAATGTAAACGACAGAAACCAACACGATTTAATTGACCTTCCCTTGAACCCAGTTCTCAACGCCTCCACCGCGCAACGAACTCAAGTCCCAAACTTACATAAAATCATTAAATCGTGGGATCTCAAATTTCCGGGAAAACAAGACGCAAACGAATTTCTCGACGAATTTGAAAGGAAAATGACTGCTTCAGCGATAAATCCCAATGACGCGCTCCCAATTTTCTCCCAAACTCTATCAGATACCGCGTTCTCATGGTTCAACATGTTTCGTCACAAATGGACAACATGGACAGAATTTTCCACGTCATTCCGAAAAACATTTAGTGATGTTAACGATGACAACCAAATTCTGAACAAAATCCACCGCGCAGTTCAGTTAGAAAATGAAACAGGGATAGATTTCGTCATAAAAATCGGCGCGCTTTATAACAAATTAAGAAATAAAATTCCGGAAAACATCCAACTTGACAAAATTTATTTAAGTTTACATTCCGAATTAATTTCTCTTTTTGATCGCGACAGTTTTACAACGTATGAACAACTTTTAGATCAGATCCGCAAATACCAAGAAAAAATAGATTTTATGCAGCAATCAAATAAATTGCGCGAACAAGACTCAAAACGGTCCCGTAACCCGCGCAATAGAAATCAATTAAACGCAATTGATTCGCAAACCTCGCAATCTAAAAATTCTTCAGACGAATCAACCGAAAAAGAAACTAAAACAGAAACAAAACAAAAACAAGCGAAAAAGGTCAAACAAAAAGCGACACCAGAGCCTGAACAAAAGTTAAATAAAATAGACATTTATCAAAAACAGTTCGAGTCTCTTAAACAAAAATTAAATATAAGCGACACAGAAAATGCTAAAACGAGTAAATCGAAGAGCGCTTTGATCAGTCCGAATAAATCTTCGTCTTCTCATAGATCGCGCAAACGTTCAACTTCTACTTCTTCTCGCTCCTCAAGCTCTGCTTCGTCGCAGAAAGGGGGGGAAAAGCGTAGATCGTCTGCGCACAAGAAAAGCGAAAATCCTCGTGGTCGTGGAAATGGCCATCGAGGCGGTAATAATCAAAATAATCGCGGACGCGGTTACAACAATGGTTGGAATGGTAGTGGCCGTGGTCGCAATTACAACCAAGACTACTACCATAATTCCCCCCACTCTCCGCAATACTACCAGCTAGATTGCCAGTGCAGCGCGCAAAACACGAGACCTCCTTGTCCTCCGCACGCGCCTCCACCACAACCAACGCAGCCACCATGGCACGGTAATTACAACCGCGATTATCCACAAAACTACGGTCACAACGCGCAAGATAATCAATCAAAAAACGACAGAGATGCCAGGAGAGACTAGATCTCCCTGGCAAAACCCCACCAAAACAAAACGAAAATCGACCGATAAATTACTCAAACGAAATTGATACTCATTCAAATTCGGAAAGCATCCCTATCGCTAATGAACCAACGTACAATCCTCAAATAGCATCAACGCTAAACAAAGCGCATGCAGGTAGGATTGATACTAGTGATTCTGAGAGCGATTATGATGATTGCTTATATTCTGAATCTGAAACTGAGTACTCTGAATCTGAGGAAGATTGCTCTCCCACAATAGGCACGTGCATATCTTCACTCAGATCGTTGCCACTGATTAATCAGTCGAACAATTTATTTGTATTGACTGATAAAACTAAGCGCAGAGTACACAAAGGGCACGCATCGCCCTCACCGCCTCAGGAAAGATGTACAATTTCCACGGTAATCAAAATCGGTAACGAAAGAATAACAGCGCTTCTTGACACAGGTAGTGATCGAACTTTCATGTCAGGAGAACTTTTCGACAAACTCGAAAGTTTAGCTAACGGCGATCCGATTAAGGATGCGATAACGCGTGCCGGCGTACAACTCGCGCAACGCGATCACGTAGCCGCACCTCGCCATTCCGTAAAATTCGACATCGAAATAGATAATTGCCACGGTGAAATATGGTTTGCCGTTCTCGACGGTCTAACTACACCAGTCATTTTAGGCATGGACTTTATAACTAGTTGGCAAGTTATTATTGACGCAAGCCAAGGTTATTGGTCCATGAAAGGGTCCACGATTCGTCACCCTTTAGGCTCCAACTCCAATACGCGTAGCTTCCTAAATTCGGCTCAACTAATCGAATTATCCCCGGAACAAAGGAATAAATTAAATGCGTTTTTAGATGATAAATTATCGAAATTTACCTCTGGAACCGGTGTCACAAATCTAACGACACACGTTATAGAGCTGACCGATCCAACGCCATTTAAATTAAAACCCTATCGCCGTAGCTTAGAAGCGAACAAAATCATTAATGATCAAATTGATGTTTACTTAGATAAAAAGTTTATAGTTAGAAGCAACGGACGCTTTGCAAGCCCAGTAGTGCTCACTTATCGACAAAGATGGCTTAAAACCAAACGCTAAGCGAGTCGAATCAATCCTCGAACGAGCAACTCCTCGTAACCGAAAAGAGTTGCGCCGGTTTAACGGCTCAGTGAACTGGTATCACCGTCACTTGCGCAATATTGCAAAAGTGCAAGGACCGCTAAATAAATTAGCGAGTTCCAAGGTACCTTGGAACTGGACCGAAGAACACGAGGCCGCGTTCAACGAAGTTAAGGAATCCTTAAAAAGCGCCTTGACTTTAGTCGCGCCTAGGCCCGGTTTACCCCTCTACTTGTATACCGATGCAAGCGACACCGGTATCGGTGCTATCTTGACACAGCAAGATGGAGAAAAAGAATACTTAATCACATGCCTAAGCAGACCTTTAAGAGGTGCTGAATTAAATTACACCACCACTGAAAAGGAATGCTTGGCTGTGATTTTCGCTATTAAGAAGCTCCGCTGCTACCTCGAATGCGCTGAATTTACTGTAATCACAGATCATTCCAGTTTAATTTGGTTGCAAGGTCTCAAGGACCCAAAAGGTAGACTTGCGCGATGGGCTCTCGAGCTGTCCGCAAATAACGTCAAGATTGAGCACAGAAAAGGTACGACTAATGAAGCGCCGGATACGCTTTCGCGACTTTACGAAGACGATACTAGTGATACGCTCGTTACCGAACTAAATTCCGTTAAAAGTCAAAGTTGGTACGACCAGATGCTAGAAAAAGCTCGTAAAGATCCCTCGCGCTACGAAAGATATAAAGTTGATTTGAACAATCAACTATACTATTATAAACCAAATATGGTTAAAGAAACCATCGGCGATAATAACGCCTGGAAAAAGATCCTTAAAGAAAATGAAATTTTACCGATTATTACCGAACATCATTGCACTACTCAATCCGCGCACCAAGGCATCAATAAAACTTATCTTTCGATAATTAATCATTTTTATTGGCCCGGTATGCGCGAAGACATCAAGCGTTACGTTAATGAATGCGAGATTTGCCTCAAGTGTAAGCCGAAAAATACGCCCCCACAAGGTTTAATCTATCCGCGCAAAATTACGGAACCCTGGGAAACAGTGTCACTCGATATCGTAGGTCCCCTACCTCGGTCAAAATCCGGTAAAAATTATATCTTAGTTTGTGAAGACACGTATACTCGTTACATTGACTGCTTCGCGCTTTCTAAAGCAGACGGTCCCAAGATTGTAAAATCTTTAAACACCCTTGTTAACCGCTGGGGAGCGCCTAGAATTGTCATCACCGACAACGGTACAGAGTTCGTAAATCGGAATATCACATCGTTTTTACAAAAAATCGGTTCGGTACAACGGACAACACCCGTATACCATCCTCAGGCCAATCCTGTCGAGCGCGTAAACCGTAATTTGAAAACAATGTTAGCAAGCCTCCTCGGCGAAAATCAACGCGAATGGGATGTTCTGCTCGAAGATATCCAGTTCGCCTACAACACCACTGTACACACATCCCTTGGAGTCACTCCAGCTTTCTTAAATTTCGCTCGCGAACCGAGACGAATAGGCGAACCGCCACGTGACACAAACACAGACGTTAAAATTGACGAAACAATTAACACATGGTTAGATCGAATAAAACATATAGATGCGCTTCGCGCAAAAGTTGAACAATTCATGAAAAAGGCTAGTAAGAAGCAAGGCAAGATATATAACAAAAATCGAAAGAATAATATTGACTTTCAACCTGGAGATCTCGTATTCTACCCTAATAATGTCTTGTCTAACGCTGCACGTGGTTATAGTTCTAAACTAGCGCCACGTTATAAAGGTCCAGCAACAGTTCTAGAAAAATTGTCACCCATGATAGTTGTTATCGGCAATTCGCATGGCAAAAAGTTAGGAAAATATCATATAAACGACTTAAAACCTGCAAGAAAGAATCTTCGATCGCGCTCTACGTTGTAAAATTTCTATTACAGATATACGATCACCATGGAACCAGCACCCAACGACAACACGAACAACGCTACTGGATCTGCCCTACAAGAGATTCCGGTTCTGTGCATTACGCCACTTCCCGAAGACCAAGGCGAACCCAGCAGCGCCGTCACTCTCGAGCAACCACCAAGTGGTCTGGTTGTTTTACGCAAGACAACCTTAGAAACCCTCCTAGCCGAACGTGACGACCTTAAAGAAAAGTTAACTACTATTCAACAACAATTATCCTCTTTTGAAGAAAAAGAAAAACTAAATTGCGCAACGACCAGCAAGACCGCCGACCATAAGGAAGAACACTACCAATTTATGGCGGATTTGAACAAGGAACGCTACAACCTAACAAACACGATCTCAGAACTCCAGAAAGAGATCACTGATCTAAAAGTCGAACGCGCCACCATGAAGAAAGATCTCGATTCATATGAAGCCGATTTCAACCGAGTTTGCGACGATTACTCTTACCAGGAAGACTACAGCCTCCGCCTCAAGAAACTCTTTTACAACACGGTATCCGAAGTATGCCATGCTCTCGCAAATTTGCGCGAACCGAAGCTGAGACCTAAGGCCCCCGAAGGCTGCCTTAACTGTGGTATCAGCGGGCATAGTTTTCGTTCCTGTCAAAGGAAGTATAACGGACGTTTCTGTCAAACCTGCGCACACCCCGACTTTTCAACCGAAGAATGTCCTTGGCCTCACTACCCTAATGGACCCTCTAGCATTCCCGAAAGCAGCAGATGTAAATCGTGCTGGCAATCAAAGACTACGCCAAACCCGCATTGCGCTGAGTGCCGTCGAAGAATGATAAGAGAAAATACCATTAAGCGCAATAAACTCGCCCAAGAATTAGAAGATGCATCATTCTCACTCCCTTCCACCAGTCAATCAATGAAGGATGGAAGACAAGCAACTCGCACCATCATCGCTCCCCCAGCTTCTCAAGCCCAGCAGATGGCCATTACGTCAGTTGTAACTAACAACTCTAAGAGCGAATTTTGCATTCAATCCGAACCAAAAGCCGAGATTGGAATGCAGCCTTCTACTCAGCCAGCAAATCCCAAGACTGCTCTGCAAAACGCGCAACCCAACGAAGAGCCAACGGTTTCACAAGACCCAATAGTTGAACCATTAATGCTCTCACCCCAAGTACAGCCCAGTAATGTGCAGAACCTGCCATTAAAACTTTTCCAATAAAGCAAATCTAATTGAAATATGTTGTTAGATATAATTATATTAATTAATATCCCACAACTGATTATTAAGACGAGAAGTGAGATATCAGATAAGTTTTGATTTCAGATTCTTTTCCTTCCTTTCATTCAGTTATCTTTGCATCTCAATTTTTAATGCTTTGTTTTATTCCTAAATCATTCTAATAATTATTCAATTCTAACTTAAAAGGTTTAGTCTCTTTTGCAAGCCAAGGATTATGGGTTGGAGAGATTTAGCCAAACGACTCAATCCTGGGTAGCAACAACGATTTAGGAAGGGGGAATTGTAACGTTTTATTACGTTTCTGTTCTACTGACAATCCTTGTTGTTACTCAGATTGAATAATTCATATTAATATTATATTTTCAAATTATATTTCGCGCCTTAGCGCCAAACTTCAACACCAGGCGTCGCGCACGCCAAAAACAGCAGACGACAAAAAGCACATGTTGCTTTTGACCGGCAAGAGACGCCAGATTGGTGTGAACCATAAGTGCGAAAACGCACCATTGCGCATAATTAATATAATTGTATTTTTATTCCTTGTGCCAAATAAATTGTTGTTTATTGTGAGTGCGCTAATTATTTCCGCCGTTTCCAGCGTCATAATCGCTAATTTCAGTTGTGGGAATACAAAAAAGGTTAGTCTTCTAATTTCGTTTTTCTTGGCTTGTCACCGAAGGAAGGAGGAGATATCTTTCGAGCAGTGGATTCCTGGTTGGTAATTGTGTCTCGCAATATGAGTCGAACCCTTACTCTATTTTTACAATAAATTCTTATATTGTTGGTCACAACCCCAATGGGAAATTAACAACTGGCGTAGTACTGCGCCAGCACTGGCAGCACTGGGATGATAACGCCGTCTGGCGCTGCCGAAGTACTGTCTGTCAGTGCTGCCAGACAGCGCTGGCGCAGCATTGGACCAGTGCTGGCTCAGAATATTGCCGCAATAAATGCCGTATTGTTATTAATTAGTCATAAATTCATAATTATAAATTATTTAACAACAAAATGGTAAATAATATTAATAAATAGTTATTATTCATAAAATATTTCTCTTCTTAAAGAAATTGTATTAAAGATGGAGACTAACAATGGATATAGTAAATGAAGTAGAAAAAAAGGGTGTACTTCCGAATAAGGGGGACCTCCGATTTCAATAAAAATTGGTATACCAACGTATTTTGATGCGCTGATTACGAAAATGATAATGAAATTTGACGCAAATTTCATCTTTATGGTGAAAATCATAAAAAAACCATAAATTGTGGTTTTTTGCGTATAATTCGTAAAAAACGAAAAATTTTGTAAAACTTTTTAAACAAAAGTTATAGAACTCACCAAAATACACATTTTATGTTCCTATCATTATTTGCTAAAATCCATTATTTTCCAAAAAAATGTAAAAAACCATAAAATACCATAAAAAAGGGTCAAAAAATACTTTTGCTCAAAATAACAGCCAATTTTAACAAAATACAGTTCCTTTACGTATTTTGATACTCTGATCACGAAAATCATATTGAAAATTGGTGCAAATTTAATGATTATGGTAAAAAACCATAAAAAAACCCATAAAATAACCATAAAATGGTGGTTTTTTGCCTCAATTCGTGTACCGTTGCTCTATGCATACAGAAAGGGAGTCAAATTTACTTCCTAGTTGGTGCTAGAAGGTACACAACCCAGACCGAGACCCCTACAACAAGTCCCCCCCAAAAAACCTTTTTTAAGGGCCCAAGGGGGGAACAGCTGAGAGGCGGGCGAAGCCCGACTCAGGTCGTGTGCCCTTGCTCTGTGCATACAGAAAGGGAGTCAAATTTACTTCCGAGCTGGTACTAGAAGGAACACAACCCAGACCTGAGCCTACAACGTGTCCCCCCCAAAAAACTTTTTTTAGGGCCCTAGGGGGTACAGCTTAGGTCGTGTGCCCTTGCTCTTTGCATACAGAAAGGGAGTTAAATTTACTTCCTAGTTGGTACTAGAAGGTACACAACCCAGACCGAGCCACGAACTGAGGCAAAAACCATAATTTTATGGGTTTTTTATGGTTTTTACCATAATCATTAAATTTGCACTAATTTTCAATATGATTTTCGTGATTAAAGTATCAAAATACGTAAAGGAACTGTATTTTGTTAAAATTGGTTGTTATTTTAAGCAAAAGTATTTTTTGTCCCCTTTTTATGGTATTTTATGGTTTTTTACATTTTTCTCGGAAAATAATGGATTTTAGCAAATAATGATAAGAACATAAAATGTGTATTTTGGTGAGTTCTATAACTTTTGTTTAAAAAGTTTTTCAAAATTTTTCGTTTTTTACGAATTATACGCAAAAAACCACAATTTATGGTTTTTTATGGTTTCCACCATAAAGATGAAATTTGCGCCAAATTTCATTATCATTTTTGTAATCAGCGCATCAAAATACGTTAGTATACCAATTTTTATTGAAATCGGAGGTCCCCCTTATTCGGAAGTATATCCGAAAAAAATTGTTTATAACATTTAAAAATCAAATAATAAACAATTACAGTAAGTGTGCATTAGATTTTCATATTTTAGTACCTAACGATTGGAATCTAGAAATATCGCAAACCTATGAAAATAAACAAAATTGCTGACGAGGGGAATCGAACCTACGACCTACGGACTAACAGACTAACGCTCTAACCACTATGCTAACGACACATGTGTACAGTAAATTATTAATATCTCAGTATCATTCAGACATACAATTATTGAGTCAAAGATGAGAAAAAAATAGGGATACGTTAGAAATAATAAATTGAAATCAAATAAATTAAACTAAATTTTTAATAATTAAATTAAATTACTTTACTTATTGCATTTAACATTTTACGTAATTCTTAAATTACGTGGTAATTTATTAATAATTTTTTATTCATAGTAAGAAGTATAATAGTATTTTAATAGGAACCAAATTATTATTGAGATTAAAGTTTAAATTTTGTTTATAATTTTAATTTGTTTAAATAATTTATTATTTACAAAATTAGACAATTGTGTTAAATTGTTATTATTAAATTTAATAAGAATAAAAAATGAACAACTGAAAAGTAAAATATTAATTTTTTTCAATAAATTTATATTTATAAACATTTATAAACTTTTTTTATAATTTTTTTCAAGTTTATGTCAAAAAAGCAATGTTGGCAAAGAGCGTTGTGAACAATTTTTCTATACTCAGCCAGCACTTGCCGCCGTGGCTTGTCCAAGCTTTGGCGAAACAAAAATTCTGTACTGCGCCAGCACTAATTGTCGAGGCTCGGCTAGACTACGCCGAACAATCGTCTGAGTACTAAGCCAGTGGTGAACATCGGCACTACACTGGCATTTCCCATTGGGACGTCATTGTCAGTTAGGTAAGTTTTTCCATCAAATCGGAGGACCGAGCTCGCGTACATTTTTGTTGAGCAACTACGCAAAGGACTTTACCTAACTTTTTACTTCATATTTGCATTCGGAAAAACACGCAAGTGTTCTTTTTCATATAATTTGTTTAAATAATTAATTTTTTATTTCATAATTAAATAGAGCACCATCATTATACCCAGTATGTGAAGTTGAATTGAACAATTTTTTAATTTTTATTAGGGTTCTGAAAGCAAACAGTTTTTCCTTATTTTCTCGTTTCGATATAAATGTCAGTTAACTAAGTTTTTATTTCAAACGGCAGAATATTGGTCCAATATTGGCCAAATATTGCACTATAAAAAAAGGTTCTAAATTAGAGCTGATTTCGGTATTAAAATAGAACTAAATTACGATTTAGTACCAAAATTGGTACTAAATTAGTACCTTTCTTTTTACAGTGTGACAACCAAGAGAAAAAAAATTTTTTTTAAATAAACTTTTTTAATTAAATAATAATAATAAATTAATGTTTATAATAATTTTTGTTTAATATAGGTATTTATTTGTCTAATTATTTATTTTTAATAATTTATGTAAATAATAAATTATTTATTATTTATAAATTATAACTGCTTTTAACATATAGCAGCTATTAGGAAATAGCATTCTGCAAAAAATTCTATCAATGAAAAATCAATGATAGGCGAGAAAAGTTAGAGCTTCCCTCTTGCGGCAGAGATTGCAATTGCAGTTTACGTGATAATTCTTAGGCTGAAGTCCCATGGCAGCGTATTGCGTTGCGTTTTTTAACTAGGCCATGAGTGTGAGAGAGATACAGATATATGTTTGCTCTATTTGCACTCATTGCCTACACGGAAAAAAATAGTCGCAGAAATTTTCAGCGACTAATCGAAGACTCTCGGATATGAACGAATCTTTTATAGACTTTTAGAAATGTTCTACGATTTTAGCAGAAATTCTCCAAAAAAAAGTCGAGGACTTTCTAGAAACCTAGTAGCGGAAAACAGTCTCGGAATTATTCTAACACTTCATAGAAGGTTTCGTCGACGAGTCGCGGAAAATGGTGCGCACAAAAGTTGCGCGCGTTAAAACCAATAAACACTGTTTTTTTAACATTTTTTTTTAACAATTTATGACAATTGATTGTCAAGATTATTATTATTTTTATTATTCAATGTGTCGATATTAATATATACATTAAAAAATTCTAAATAATTTCCGCGACTGTCAATTAAAAATTAGAACGCTGTAGAGTAAATTCAGGTTTGTAATTTTCCGCGACTGTGGCGGAATCGGTTACATGCGCGTGGAGTCTTCATTTTCTTCGACAGTCGCGGAAAGTTTCTTCAAATGTAGTCTATTTCTTCAAAAACTGTGAATATGATTTTTAAAACACTTTCCACTTAATCCGAGAGTCTTCAACAAAGTCGAGGAAAATTTCCGCGACTTATTTTTTCCGTGTAGTTACAAAACGCAACGCAAAACGCTACCATGGGACTTCAGCCTTATCTCTGCTGCAAGAATATTTTTTTTCTGTTGCTTAATATTTTTTCATTAAAGTTATAAACAATTTTAATCAAATTATTTATTGTTGTGTAAAAATTGTTGCGTGTTATTTTAACAAATAATATTTTTAAAAATTCGGTGTTAAAATAACACTTTGTATTTTAACAGGATACCGGTAAAAAAATCGATTTTTCACATTTAATGGTTGTTAATATGTACTTTGTTTACAACAATTGTTTATTACTTCATTGAAAAAAAATTGGTAAATATAGAGGAGAGTTGTCAGGGTTGATCAGTGGTTAGGGTTGAGCCACCGCGTTTATTTTGTTTTATCACACTAGCGCCATCTGCATTTGTACCTAAATTCTTGCTACTAATGTCAGCAAACTTTTCACATAAGTCGCAATGAAGTATACGAACGTATACTTGTGTATTGTGCGACTCACAATCAGTGATTTAGGCTCAGCAAAAGCTTTTTTGCGATGTCAAAAAACGAGAACTAAATGTAGAAGAAATATGTCAAAGACAAAATAAGATTATATATGTGACCTGGACAGTGAAACGGGACCTTACGTGCGAAAACAAGTTTTCGAGAAAACAGCAGTTAAAGTTTAACTTAGAAAAACCCTTGTAACTTTTTTAAATATTAATATTTTTTAATCAATTTAGGCTTATTTTCTTCACCGTGGATCACAGTATCAAAATAAAAAACATACAAGTAATGAAATTTTTTTTTTTAATAATTGTTTATATAAATTAATAACAAACTTACCAAACACAGAAAAAATAATCTTAGTTTTTTAAATAGCAACAATAAGTATAAATAAGTGACACATGTTTGTTAGAGTTTTCGAGGCCACTGATTACATATATATGATGTTAAATTGCCAATTTGACAGTTGACAGCTGTCAACTTCTCTAAAAAGTG